ATATATATATATTTATATATATACTATATATATATTGATTATATATATATATATATTATATATATTATATATATATATATATATATAAATTTATCACTTATATATAAAAATATATTGTTATATATATATATATATATATATATATATTGCCTATATATATATATATATCATATAAATATATATATATATATTTCGGATTAGTATATATATATATATTTTATGTATATATATTAATATATATTATCAAATTAAACCTTTGGACATATAATTTCAGCTTCTAAAACCCAGAAAATAAAAAAACCTGGCCATCTTTTCTCCCAATCTTTTAGAGCCTTTTTGTTAAGTGTATATAAAATAGACCAAAATCCATGACATAAAAAAATCATCTAAAAAACTTTGTTCTCACTTTACATTTATGCAACTAACTTTTGACATCTTATATTATATATACTAATGGTCAGTTATATATAATATATATTTTATATATATATATATATATAATATATATTTTATATATTTATATATATTATGTATATAATATATAACGATTAAATATATATATCGTATGTAAATATATTGAATATATATTTTTATATATATTATGTAGATTAATATATATTTTATATATATATATATGTATATAATATATATTTTTTATATATATGAAATATATATATATATTTTATATATATATTATGTATGAGATATATATATATATATATAATTTATATATAATATATTTATATATATATATATATATATATTTTATATAAAGGAATATTTTATATATATATATATTTTATATATATATATAAATTTATATCTTCATATATTAAATATATATATATATATATTATATATATATATATTTTTTTATCTATATATAAAGCATATTTATATTATATATATATAATATTATCGAATATATATATATATAAATATATATATATATATATATATATTATGTATTATAATATATATTTTATATATATATATTTTCTCTGAGTTTGAATAATTGATCTTTCATTTTTTGATAAATATTTTAATTTCCAATTGATTCTCTATATTCTGCAAAAAAAAAAAAAAATTGATTGAAAATGAAAAAAAAAATGAAAAACAAAATTCAAACCCTTCAGTTTTTCAGTGGCTAACAAATATAAGCATTATATTAATTGCTTGATTTTTGAGTTAACATTAATATAAAAGCAAAAAAAATTTACTTAACTTTATTGCTGGAAGACATTGTTTATATCTTTTTTTTTTTTTGGTAAAAACCTTATGATAAGGATAAGCATCATTTGTTAATGGTTGAGCCTAATAATAGTCCCATTCGTAGAGTTGGAAAAACCAAAAAGTTTGTAATTTTAAAGTTTGAAGTCATCATGTAAATGCCATATTTTATCTAAGTTGAAGTGTTCATCAGTGGACCATCAAAAAACTATAAAAACTAAAGTCAAATTGTCCATTTTTATCCATTAGTGTTACATCTTAGAACAAGTGGGAGAAAGAATATATAGGGGAAAAATGTTTTTAAATTATGAACTTAACCAATTCTTTTTTTTTTATTGTGAGTCTTTTTATTTAACAAACAAATAATGAAAAACATTTTTATATTGAGTTTTGCAATATGATATGATAAATGGTTGCTTTTTTTTTTTGGTTTATATAATAGAATGCATGAACAAATTAATGTCCTCACACATGGCAATCCTTCTCTTTAGGACCCAAAGAGTTTGAGAAATAATACAATGGTTAAAATGGCAGAGAAAATGGAATATTGAATTAACATTTATAGGATGATAACTTTATCCATTAGGCATTCATTGTTTTCGGTTGGAACAGTTTAATCCAGAATTTTTTAAATAAAGAGTTCAGTTTACATTCCAACCACCTGAAGAAGCATACAATGGCCGAAAACTTTTAATTTGATAAATATGGCTACAAAGATGAGGATTAGTCCAAACAATTGCAATAAAAGTCCAAAATACATCGCATCTCAGAAATATAGATGTGAATTTTTATGTATTTTAAATCCTTTGATTCTATCAAACAGTTTTTGAAAATTTTAAAAAATCATTCACAATTTTCAATGGCATTAATATATTCTATCTGTAGATTGAATTAATACTTTTCTAAAATGATTTATATTTTCTTATATAAATGAATCAAATAAAAATTTAAACAAAATGTTCAGTTTTATCTTCTATGTTTTATATTGTAAATTGAATTTTAATGTCATTTGTCCTTAAATTTTTTTTTATAATTGTTAATCAAACCCCCACATAATAGCCAAAATTTTTAACAAAATGATTTACATTTAGAAAAATAGATTTTTAACAAAATTAAAAAACACATTTTAGTTTGAATTTTTAGATTAAATGTATTTGGGGTACATTTTAATAATGGTTTTATGAATTATAAAATTTATTAATTAAAAATCATAGTTGTAATATTTGATTTGAATTCATAATTTTCCCAAAAAGAAATTTTCAAAAATAAATATAATAAACCCATATTCAATTAGAATTAAAAAATCTCTGATTAACAATTTTTGAATAACATTATACAAGGAAATCAAAAAAATTTATCCAAAATTATAATTTAAATAATTTTCCAAACTTACATTATCTGGATTTCCCAAGTGGTTGCCCAAAAATGTTTTTCAAAATATTCAGATCTCATCCATTCTAAAAAAATCTCAGAAATAAAAAGTTTTTCTTTTTTTTAATTTCTTCTGAAAATTCAAAAAATAAAACCAATATAAATATATTTATAAATGAGGATTATTAATATTTAACATTTTTATTAAAATTCTTTTTTGTCATTTTCATGTATAGTTTTCGGATGTTTCTTTTTACCTTCTTCAGAAATGATGTAATTGGAAATTCAAAAAACAAAACCTTTTACCATGTTTTGTATCATTAAATGCAAGACGCCTCTTTTGGATATCTCAAATTTTTTTAATTCAAAGAGTTTCTTTAGGAAAAATTTCTAAAAAACTTATTTGGCCAATTTGAACTCTTCTTTTCTTTGGGTCATTTGCTGGAAAAATTCAACCAACACTTTTATCTAAAGTATCCTTGAGAACATCAATCTATTCATTTGTCTTATTTTAAACCTAATTTGTCAAACCAAAAAATTCAGAGACATATTACAATTTGTTGTTAATATTGATAGCTCTTTGATAAAATTTTAACTGTATGGTTCCCATAAAAAATTCAAACTCTATTTAATAACTGTGTAGTTTATATTTTAAATTTCAAAAATTTTAGGTAACTATAAATGTACTTAAATCTTTATTCAAATTTTCAGAAAAATCTTGCCATTTAAAAAATATTTTATAGCAATATACCTTCCACGGGCAGGTAGTTCAAAATCCAATTGTTACAATCTGAATTCAAAAAAGAGTATAATGGCTAGGAAAAATTGTGAATGTATGAAATAAAAGAATTTAATAGTCAAAACATGTAAATAATATCCGATTCATACTACAATCTTTCACATATTTTATAGACAATAAAAATTTTTTAAAAAAAAAACCTTTCTAAAGTTTGCCTTATTAGTTATGATGATTTAAATTATAAGGGAAGCTATTTTTAATGTTTGATTAGTATTCTTTCATTTATCCATGCATTTTAAAGTTCTCTATTAAGTTCTTAATTTTATCAACATACACCCTTGTGCAAATTAATTGAAACAACCGCTTTAGTTTCCTTTCTTTCACCATACGGTCAGTTTTAGACCCACTGGAGTGACAGGGTGTAATCGATTTCTATTTTTTCCTCAGATTAGGTCATTTGCAGTGGTGTGCAGTAATATGAATCTATTTTCGGGGTGTATGATGAAATTTGTTTGGCCTTGAAAAATATTGCGTCATCCGTGATTGCATCAGATTTTTATCACACCCAGACACTATTGTCTCGACTGTCGATTAGTTGTCCTACGGCCATTGTCTGCGATGGACGTTACTCCAAGGAAGTGTATGAAAATTGTAACACTGCACGAACACACTGGCAAGCCTTACCAGTGAGCAAATCAAAGTACTATTGACTGGCTCGGAAACTCTCCTGATTTAAATCCAATCAAGTATCTGTGATCAGTCTGCAAGGAAAGACTTTGTGGAATGAACATACGAAGTATTAACATATGCACTGAGTCATGTTTCATTGGAAAAATATAAAAAATAAGTAAATAATAACGGAATTATTCGTTTTGTTTCAATTAATTGGCACAAGGGTGTATCAGTCCTTGCCAGATTATTTAAGGGTAAACATAAGTTTTATAAGACAAAAATGACAATGAATAAATTGGTAGATACAAATTTAATTTACATGAGAGTAAAAATGGTAAACCAGTGTCTGCAAGTATCCACCTAAAAAGCAGTTATTTTGATTTGAGTGGGATTTCAAACATTTTGCATGGGAAACAGTCTATGTATCCTAAGCCCTGTCAAAAAGGCAAGGGTTATTATTCTACAAACATTTAAGCAGTAAATCAAGAATAAAACTCTAGTGCGATTTGAAGCTGCGTTCCATATCATTGTGAGCTTGTCTCACTGTATGTAAAAAAATATCAAAATGAAGTCGGATAAACAGTCCTTTTTTCCTTTTTTTTCTATAAATCTTTCTGTAATAAAATTCGATTATATTCCACATGACAAACAATATGTACAGTAAATTTATTATATTTAGGCAGTAAAGGTTCGTCTGTCACTCGATTCACACTCCTCCACAGTCTTTTGAACAAGAGTAGAGTTTTATTCTTTCTATCCTGTTTAGGATTGAATTTCCAGTTCCTTCTAAAGTTTTCCCATTCATTTTCTCTCCCATTAGTTATTTGTGTCTTAGTGGCATTATCACCTTGCTTTTTTTTTTGCTGCATTTGGATTAAATTCAACAAGTTTTTTGCTTACAGTGACTACATAATCCAATATGGTTGCACATGCTCTCATCCCAAAATGTATTTAAAAAAATATAAGATGACAAAGCAGCATCTTAAACATGCCTCTGCTATTCTCTCACTCATTGCCTGTATCTTCTCAGTCTCTCCCTTACCCCTTGCAATGTAATAGAAAATTAGCCATTATCTCATGCCTCTGTTATTCTCTCACCATTGCCTGTATCTTCTCATTCTCTCCCACACCCCTTCCAATGTAATAGAAATCATCCATTATCTTTAAATCTCTGCTATTCTCTCAGTCATTTGCCTGTATCTTCTCATTCTCTCCCTTACCCCTTGCAATGTAAAGAAATCATATCCATTATCTCATGCCTCTGCTATTCTCTCACATTTTGCCTGTATCTTCTCATTCTCTCCCTTTTTCCTTTCAATGTAATAGAAATCATCCATTATCTTATGCCTGTGTTTCTCACACCATTTGCCTGTATCTTCTCATTTCTCTCCCTTATTCCTTGCAATAAAATTATTAAATATATCATTATCTATGTGCCTCTGTATTCTCTCACACATTTCCTGTATCTTCTCATTCTCTCCCTTAACCCTTATTCCTGTAACTTAGAAATCATCCATTATCTCATGCCTCTGCTATTCTCTCATTTTTTCCTGTATCTTCTCATTCTCTCCCTTATTCCTTCCAATGTAATAGCCATTATCCATTATCTCATGCCTCTGCTCTTCTCTCTCAATATTTGCCTGTATCTTCTCATTCTCTCCCTTATTCCTTCAATAATCCAAGATTATCCATTATCTCATGCCTCTTATTCTCTCTCACATTTGCCTGTATCTTCTCATTCTCTTTTCCAATACCTTATTCCTTTATTAATATAAATCATCCATTATCTCATGCCTCTGTTTCTTCTCTCACAATTTTGCCTGTATCTTCTCATTCTCTCCTGATATCCAATTCCAAAAATTAATTATCCATTATCTCATGCCTCTGCTATTCTCTCACACAATTTGCCTGTATCTTCTCATTCTCTCTTATTATTCCTTCAAATAAAAGATTATCCATTATCTCATGCCTCTGCTATTCTTCTCACCATTTGCCTGTATCTTCTCATTCTCTCCCTTATTCCTTGCAATCCAAGATAGAAATTTCCATTATCTCATGCCTCAGCTCTCTCTCTCATATGATTTCCTGTATCTTCTCATTCTCTCCCTTATTCCTTCAATGTAAGATCAAAAATCATCCATTATCTCATGCCTCTGTTCTTCTCTCACATTTCCTGTATCTTCTCATTCTCTCCCTTATTCCTTCCAATCCAAATTCATCCATTATCTCATGCCTCTGTTATTCTCTCACACATTTGCCTGTATCTTCTCATTCTCTCCCTTATTCCTTGCAATGTAATAAAATCATCCATTATCTCATGCCTCTTGTAAATTCTCTCACACATTTGCCTGTATCTTCTCATTCTCTCCCTTATTCCTTCAATGTAATAAAAATTATCCATTATCTCATGCCTCTGCTATTCTCTCACACATTTGTCTGTATCTTCTCATTCTCTCCCTTATTCCTTCAATGTAATATTATCCATTATCTTATGCCTCAGCTTCTCTCTCATTTTGTTTCCTGTATCTTCTCATTCTCTCCCTTATTCCTTGCAATATAATATTCATCCATTATCTCATGCCTCAGCTGTTCTCTCACACTTTTTGCCTGTATCTTCTCATTCTCTCCCTTACCCCTTCAATGTAATAGAAATCATCCATTATCTCATGCCTCTGCTATTCTCTCACACATTTCCTGTATCTTCTCATTCTCTCCCTTATATTGCAATTAATACAAAATTATCCATTATCTCATGCCTCTGCTTTCTCTCACACATTTCCTGTATCTTCTCATTCTCTCCCTTACCCCTTGCAATGTAATAGAAATCATCCATTATCTCATGCCTCAGCTATTCTCTCACACATTTCCTGTATCTTCTCATTCTCTCCCTTACCCCTTGCAATGTAATAGAAATCATCCATTATCTCATGCCTCTACTATTCTCTCACAAATTTGCCTGTATCTTCACATTCTCATTCTCTCCCAATACCCCTTGCAATAATAGAAATCATCCATTATCTCATGCCTCTGCTATTCTCTCAATCAACATTTCCTGTATCTTCTCATTCTCTCCCTTATCCCTTGCAATGTAATAAAATCATCCATTATCTTATGCCTCTGCTTATTCTCTCACACATTTGCCTGTATCTTCTCATTCTCTCCCTTATCCCTTTTATGTAATAGAAATATCCATTATCTCATGCCTCTGCTCTTCTCTCACATATTGCCTGTATCTTCTCATTCTCTCCCTTATTTTCAATGTAATAGAAATCATCCATTATCTCATGCCTCAGTTATTCTCTCACAAATTTGCCTGTATCTTCTCATTCTCTCCTTATCCCTTGCAATGTAATAAAATTATCCATTATCTCATGCCTCTGCTATTCTCTCACCAATTGCCTGTATCTTCTCATTCTCTCCCTTACCCCTTGCAATGTAATAGAAATCATCCATTATCTCATGCCTTGTTGCCACTTCTCTCTCACACATTGCCTGTATCTTCTCATTCTCTCCCTTACCCAATGCAATGTAATAGAAATCATCCATTATCTCATGCCTCAGCTATTCTCACACACATTGCCTGTATCTTCTCATTCTCTCCTTATTCCTTTTAATCCAATAGAAATCATCCATTATCTCATGCCTCTGCTATTCTCTCACCACATTTCCTGTATCTTCTCATTCTCTCCCTTACCCCTTGCAATGTAATTGAAATCATCCATTATCTCATGCCTCTGCTATTCTCTTATATTATTGCCTGTATCTTCTCATTCTCTCCAATTTATTCCCTTGCAATGTAATAGAAATCATCCATTATCTCATGCCTCAGCTATTCTCTCACACATTTCCTGTATCTTCTCATTCTCTCCCTTACCCCTTGCAATGTAATAGAAATCATCCATTATCTCATGCCTCTGCTATTCTCTCACACATTTAAATGTATCTTCTCATTCTCTCCTTACCCTTCCAATGTAATAAAAATCATCCATTATCTCATGCCTCAGCTATTCTCTCACACATTGCCTGTATCTTCTCATTCTCTCCCCTACGTTCCTTGCAATGTAATAGAAATTCATCCATTATCTCATGCCTCTGCTATTCTCTCACACATTGCCTGTATCTTCTCATTCTCTCCCTTATTTACTTCAATGTAATATTAATCATCCATTATCTCATGCCTCTGCTATTCTCTCACATTTTGCCTGTATCTTCTCATTCTTTCCCTTATTTCCTTCAATGTAATAGAAATCATCCATTATCTCATGCCTCTGCTATTCTCTCACACATTGCCTGTATCTTCTCATTCTCTCCCTTACCCCTTGCAATGTAATAGAAATCATCCATTATCTCATGCCTCTGCTATTCTCTCACACATTGCCTGTATCTTCTCATTCTCTCCCTTACCCCTTGCAATGTAATAGAAATCATCCATTATCTCATGCCTCTGCTATTCTCTCACTTATTGCCTGTATCTTCTCATTCTCTCCCTTACCCCTACCAGTGTAATGAAGATATTCCATTATCTCATGTCTCTGCTATTCTCTATTAAACACTTTATTTATTAGAATGAAAAAAAAATCCTAACAGACTGGTTATATATGGTTAAAAATAATTATTTTTAAAATAGTTATCAACGTGGACATATTTTAAATAATTTAGATGTCTTTGAACACAGACTTAAATATTTTTATAAAGATAATAGCCTAATTTGAATTAAAAGAAAAATTAATTTTCTATATATAAAGAAATATTTTAGGCATTTTTAATCTTTGGCATGTTCACTCATCGACCTATTAATCAACTATTACAAAGGAAACACAAATTTTAAAATCTTTTGAAAATCCCGTATTTATCTGAGTGAGATATTTCAAAAGTATTTAGTAAATTATTTAGTAAACACAATGTTTGATTAACATGATTTTGTAAAAATAATGTATACTTTTTACTTAAAACTTAATGAAAATAACATTTATTCCTGCATAGTAGCTTGTAAGGTCAGATCTTAAAAATACAAAATGCATAATTACACCCCTGACTTAAAAATTGCAGAAAAAATTTAAAATAAAAATTAAAGAAATACTGAATACTAGCAGTGTAATAATGAAGACAATTGGTCATGGTGTTTAAAAATAAATTATCTTTTACCTTGTCTTTATATAACCAATAGTTTTAGAATATATTTTTTTTATACCATACGATTTTATGAAGCTTAGTGTTATGAATACATTGAAGAACTGTTAACAACAAAAAAAGATCAACTTATCTGAGATCAGGTTTATCTAGTTTTTAATATACATATCTAATTGAACAAAGAATATGCGTTTGGAAATTGCCACTTGGTTTCTGATTGGCTTGCAAGACTGTGACATCATATCCTTGTTGGAAACAGATCTTGTTTATTCATTTATTCATGGAAATATGATTTCTTAGCCTGAGGAAAAATAAGTGAAATTACCTTCACATGTGAGGTTTGCGGTCAGACGTGGGAGGTGGAGTGTTTGCCATGGCAAGGCTGCTCCAAGCACTAGTTTTTGTAATCTTTTTACCAGAATGGGTGGGATGTGCAGGTCTACCCAACTTGTTACTTAAGGCCTGCCTTCCCTCCCTTCTCATCTTTTTTTGTTAGAGGGACTTTATGAGAACAGAGTCATTCTATGGGATGTCCTCTTCTAACATTATTATTAATTGATCCCTTACTGAATTTGAGGTCACGAGACTAGGCAGTGTTTCATAACACTTACTGTACCGGACCGGATTCTGATTTACCCTTTGAGTTGAAAGGAATTTTTGACAATTTCGAATGCTTGTTTATTTTTTAGCACTGATCAAACTTGTTTGAATTTTCTCATTTTAGCCATCACCACAAATACACAATAATTGAAAATGATATTGTTTTTCTCCTTTCAACAAAGGGCAAAAAAAAATAAATAAAGAACTATCCTTTTTAAATTAAAGGGCAGTTGACAATCCTACCTATAACTAACAGTAACACTCTGAATGCTTTATTTTAGATTTTACTACTAGAATGAGCAAAAATGCTAATAAAATATGTTTGAAAGTACATAACTGATGCCAGTAAGTCAATTAAAGTTCGATAAAAAGCCAGAATTTCAAATGCTGATTTTCGAGATAAGTATATTGTTGTTAACATCAAAGACTGGCACATCACAGTCTTAACTCCAGTCTCCTCTTGTGCTAAGTTTTATTTTAATCAATGAAGTAATGAACATTCGAAAGGAACCATCGTCAGTTTACACCGCCTATTTCCTCTTAATCATTTTTTACTTGCCACTTTTGAGAGAAAATACTAATTTCTTGCTTATTGGTTATTTATTTGTATGTTTTTGCGTTCTTCTGGGTTACAGAAGAGGAAAAAACAAACAAAAAAATAAATAAAATAACTAGCGGAGGATATTTATTGTGTAAACGATTAGATGTGATGATTTTTATGGCTTTAAAATCGACTGCTTTTTCATTTTAATGTTCATAAACAAAATAAGGAGTTGAAGAAAGTGTCATGACGAAAGTTTGAAAAGAAAATCCTTCGAAAAATAAAAAGGTAAGAAATTGTGGTATGAAAAAATATTCTTTTTGCTTTTAAATAACCATTTAAGTAATATCTTATACAGTAATTTCATTCCACTTGTCATTTAACTTGCATAGCATTTTTTGTTTGTTTGTTTGTTTTTGTCTTCCCCATTTTGGTTTACTCACTGGTTAGAGAAATACTTGAAAAAACAAGACAAAAAAAAAATAATAAAAGTATTGAAAACAGTATACTAGATTCTTTTTTTAACACACTCGACACTTAAGCTCAGTTTTTAAATTGTAACTCCAAAATCACACCCGATATCAATTGCAGAAATAACGATTTAAAAAAAAAATCATGCATTGTTAAAAGAAAACTAAATCAATACAATTGTTTTTTACGTTTGAGAAAATTCCAGGTTCAGGTCGTAGAATTAAGAAAATTTCACATTTTTTTATAGTACCTTTGCTGCAAAAAATATAATTTTATTTTTAAAATTATTTTCTTTCATTTATTTAAAAAAAAAACAAAAAAACAGTTGCGAAATTTGTAGAAAACGGCGTTTTTATTTTTATGAGAAAAAAGTGTCCCTAAGAAAGATTTCGTAATGTAATTAAATCTCAAGTAACCTACCAAAGATTGTAAAAAAAAAAATGGATGGCAGAACAGGAAATGTGAAGGGTAGTAAAAAGAAAAAAAAACATTGCTAAGAAGAGCTACAAAAGGATAGGAAGTTGTCGAGACCCATGATCGCCCACCTCCTGAAGGGATACAGCACAAAGAAGTTGAATCTGCTGACCTCAAGCGCGGAAATTAAAAATACGAAGTTAAAAAATAAACTGAAAATTTTTTGTTGGAATTTTTTAGGTGAGGAATTATGTTTTTATTTGGATAGTCAGAGCTTGTGCACATTTTGATTGTTATGCTCACAACATTTTGGCATCTGACCTTTTTCAGTTTTCTGGCTGTGGCCTAGTGGATTAAACGTTGATTTAAAAATGAAATCTAGTTTCTTAGCGTTTGTGAGTACAGTCTCTGAAATCATTTGAAGGTTGAAGTGAATGGTGTTGATATGAAATGTTCTCGAGTATGGAAAGTGGAATGAGAACAATCCCGTGTGGGTCCAAGAAGGTTCAGTATTTCCAAATAAAAAATACAAACAACCGAAGACAGTCAAAAAACAAAAAATGTTTTTTAGCATAATAACCAAGATGAGTAATGGCTTGTTCAAAACCATCCAAGAAAAAACGAAAATAAAATAAAAGTAAAACTGATTACAAATCTGATGATTTCATGCTTCTGAGTCGATAATAAATAAAGACAATGTTTTGTAAATTATTCAAAAAATAAGAACTGCAAACTTTAATTGTATCAGTGTATCTTATAACGAACCAATGCACATGTTTTTTCTCAGCATAAGTGACTTTCACTATTGTTTTGAGGAAATAAATAGCCAATTTAGTTTTTTTGTTTTTTATTATTACTTGGTTACATGACATCCCATAGAATGTTTTATACCAAATATTTTTGAGGTGTTCTTTTTTTTTTTTTTTCATTTCACAAACAAACAAAATAACCAACCAACCAAACAAACGTCTTCCTTAGTCCAAATGCTTTGTATCAACAACAGCATTGTGGATAATTAATCTCCAGTAAAATTACTCATAGTTAAAGAAGTTTGATCGTATTTTTATTTTACTATCATCTGCACCCCACTTTTCTACTGCTGCAGATGGTTAAATTTTGAATTCAAAGTTAACCTAGATTGGTTTCCAAACATGGCTAGGGGGCCCAGTCTTCCCTGCTATTTATTTTTAGCCCATGCCAAGAGGGAGAGGGATAGCCGTAGCTACCCCAAAGGTATTTGAAAATAAATGTAACAAACTCTTGAGGAATTCGAACTCTATTCACTGATTTCTTATCCAAAGCTGCTAACCATTTATTTTAGTTACACCCACTCGCACAGGTTTTTAAATTCAGTTTTCTTCCTCCTAGACTGGTAGCCAACCAAGGCTAAAGAGCTTTGTCTTAACCTATAGTTGGAGAAATGGATTCATTCATCGCTTTTCCTAAGGTATTTGTGCAAAATAAGTGCACTGATCTCAGCTGGAATTCAAACTTGGCATGTTGATCCCACTTTCCATGCCGATAAAAACTACCCCCCCACACATCTTATATTATAAATTTGTCTCTACTCTGAATTTGATAGAATCACGTCCTAAATAGTGAATGTGATTCCATCAGCGTACAGAGACACAACAGAAGTGAACAAATCTTTCATCATTACATTATTATTGTTTTCTCTCTGAAAATCCGATTCTTCAATTACAAAGACATATTTTATATAGAATTTAAAGAATTATCCTGGTCGATTGATTTTTGGCAAAATATATTCTTTGTTTTTGTTTTGTTATCTGCACAAACAAGTTTGATTAAAAATAGAACCGACATGGGCTGCCTGTTAATTTTTTTTTGTTTTTTTTTTTTCTTATACTTTTCCAACTTCCAGATAAGATGTTGAGTTGAGTATTTATGTTAGAATTTGTGGATAAACTGTCCGAAGTTCATATATATACATTATTTATTTTTCTTCAAGTACTTTCGACTTTCCAGTCATTTCATTTT